TCAAGTCATTCTTATTCGTTTTGCGTTGATTTCATACACTATCTCAGGTCTTAACAAATAATGAACTACTTACTGCATTCTCGTTGCCTCGCTAGCGTAACCGACTACTCCGGTCTTTCTTATGACTGCACGTATTTTGTTATTATCATCATCATGATCACTGGCACTTATGGCGACTATAGACAATTTCTCAGGTAATGGTAGTCTTGATGGCAAAAATGTCCACTAGGTTCATATACGCTTCTGAAAACTTTACCAACTGTATATGGTGCATTTGCTGTGTAAATTAGGTTACCGACAGATTGGTGGTGGAGTGCCATTCTTATTGATATGCAAATCGCAATGCTTCTGATGGTCGGAACCCTTTCAGACATCAGCTTTATTTCGATGCCTCCCACTTTATGACCGAACAATGTAACATTCTTACTGTCTACCTGCAGTTTTACCACGTAATCCAAATTTCTCCATTTGGTTATAAACGGCTTTAAAAAGTCTCACAATTCAGATTCAAAAGCACTAAATTTATTAATCTCTTAAATGTTACCAGTGCTATAGCAAGACCAAACCACACTCGTACTGGTATTATTCCTAACTCACAATGAATGCTGCATTATCTCCATCGTTGGCTGCTGTAAATCCAACCGAGAGTGCAGATCTGTGAACAGTATTACTTCCAGAAGTAATCTACCATAACGGCTACCTTTAGCATTGAACTTGAACTCGATTCAATGGCGGTATTTAGACCTTTAAAGTTCAAGAGTGCTTATGTTTCCCCACCTACTTTTTCACTAAGGGCAAGAAAGAACTATACAATCTGTCAACGTTTACAACTGTATCACTTTTTAACTTCTTTTGAACTTGATAATCAATCGACTTCTTGTAAGTGAAGGAACACGAAATGTCGAAAATAGTTTGAAATAAGAAATTTTTGCGAGAACAGTTTCTTTTGATAACGTCCTTCTTATGTTCTACAATTATAAACCCATAAATATTATCACAAAATAGTCAGTTAGTGATGAAAATCTAATTCCATCAGAAACTTGATATGCCATTTACATGTAGACAGATAAACAATGGATCATGCTTTTATGGACATCTCTTAGGCCTAAGTCAGTGGCTATATATATATATATATATATATATATATATATATATATATATATATATATACATAACATTGCTTCTTTTTGTAAGGGTACTGTTACTGATACTGAAATATACTTTTCGTCTCAGGTCGTTGTCCTCGCTAAAGTAGAGCGAGTTAAAAAAACATGTAGCTGTAGTATAATATTATTGGCGTAGGCAAGCGGTATTCGTCCTCAACGCATCTGTATCCAACTCGGCATTTCTATCACTACTTCAACTCAAAGTATTGTAAATATAGAAGTGCGTTTATCCATTCACCTGCTCGTGTGGAGCTAGGTATATATCGGTCGTTTGACTCGGGTTTTTTCCAAGAAGGTGCAAGAACACTATCCTGCATGGTTACGAAGAGGTGGTAGTGGAGCAAGAAGAAGCGCGATCACTGGACATCTGGTAGATAATGATAACCCTATCTCTACAGCCTCCACCTTTAAAGACAGCTACAAGGTGGAAAGTAATTTGCCCAAATCACTATGTAAGATCAATTCAATTCCCATCCTTGAATCAAGTCAACCTGTCCCGGATCAGCCTAGCGTTGTTGCAACCCAATTATCCATGCCTAACGTGTCTATCCCCCCTTGTTTAATGAACTGTGTGTGTTTTTACATCGATCCGTTTAGTCAGACAGTTGAACTCATGACCCAATCAGAGTATTTTGTGAACTGTTATTTTTGCTGACCCATGTCTTACTTTGTACTATTCTGTCGAGTTTATCTTATTTATTGATCTTCATCTGTATCAGCCTACCTGGTTAAGTAGCCAATTAAATTCTATCTTTGTGCCTATGCTCTGTCTATCTCTTACTTGGGTTCATTCTTCTACTGACTGCTTACCTGAACGGTCGTGTCTGATTCCGGCTAGTTCGCAATTTTGGCTTTAACGTTATTCCGCTCTGATAGTGGTACCTTGCTTTCTGTTAAGCGTTGTGCTTTGTACTCTTGAAACCGTTAAGGTTTGTTGTATATATAATTATTGATTTGTTTATTAATAGTACCGTAGAAACAGTGACCGGCTTCTTGTTTGTTCTGGACCGGGATAGCCTTTATCTACGCGTGACTTAATTTCAAGCGATATTGCGCTTACACACTACCTATCCGTATCATCTGAACTGCTGAAGCTTTGGCTATCGAAAAAGAAAAACCAGATCTCTGTATACAGAAAAGTTCGTTCAACCCCTCCAACTTTTATGGTCTTAATCCCTCTATGCAAAAGCATGGTAATCCCTAATCATATTTTGTCTCTACCTATTTTTGGTTTTGTTTATTCAGTTTGTATACTCTTCTTTTATTACATCGATTGTTACTATTATTGTTTCCACTCTGACTTGTCCCCGGTATTATTTCACTTGTCATTCTAAATCAATTTTGTTTTGTAACGTTAAATTCTATGTTATCAAATTTCACTCAATGTTATGTAACGTTTTTATTTTATTCGATTTGCCTACTAATCCTATAATTGCACACCCCTTCCAAGTGCTATACATCTTATGGATTATTTTATATATTGGTTTTGTAAGGATTTTGTTTGATTGTATAGAGGATTTCATCATGAAAATTCATCTGATGCTCACTAGCGACTGACCCTATTCAGGCAGTTAACCTGGGGTTCCAGAGGGAAGACGTGACCAGTAGAGTACAGCAGGTTGAAGATGGGGCAGTAACTCGTCGAAGAAGACATTGCGAAATGGTCACACTATGTCGTGAATCGGCAGAAGTTCGAATTCAGGAACCATTGGATCGGGTCCCAGTGGCTCAATGGTCTACGAGCTCGCTAGCCTTGTAACCAGAAGGTCATGGGTTCGAACCCCGATGGGTGCGTACTGATGAAGAGCCCCGATCACTGGGACGAAACAGCTGTCCAGTACACCCAGGTTTTCCAGTGGTTCTCTAACTGATGTCAGCTCATGATGAAATCCTCTATGCAATCAAACGAAATCTCTACAAAACCCATACCTGAATATTTTATTTATGACATTTATTTTTTTGCTACTTGACATATAACTATAATTATAATCACAAATATTTTAATTCTATTTCATACTACTATTATTTTGTGCATTCACACTTACGATTCAATTCCCTTACCGGATATAATTTCTTAAAAACCATATACATATACGACTGTACAGCTTAATAATAAATTCGTTGGAAAGAGTCTCTTCACTGAATCACTAGTATTGATTTTCTAAATATAGAAGTGGTGACATCATAACAGGTAGATATAACCGAAGGGAATTTAATCAGACCATAGAATGCTATAATCCTGGTAATACATATTTATATCCTCCACGCGAAGTCAAAGAAGGTGAACAAGTACACTTGTGGTGATGTGACACAGACAATGTGCACCAATGGAATTTTATTCTCACATGTTCCCATAGTTCATTTCGCCACTAACAACAGAATACGATATATCTATTTGAAAATTCTATTTGATGTTAGAGAAAGAATACTTTCCCACAATTCCATACAGCATTAGCAACAGAATACTATGCATATTTGATCATTCTATTTCATGTCGTTTAGTGTAAACCGAAATCACATGCTCAGTGATTGGTTAACGAATATTTTTTTTCCTTCACGTTCCCCACTGGAGCATAGGGCTTCAAGCTAGTGGCTTGAATTCCATATTAGTTTGTTTATTAGGTATATCACACAGTGAAACAGTATTATTTACTGGATCATATGGTCCTGTTTGTATGTGAGTATTAACCTTGTCCAAATAGTCTGATTTGTCTAATACTACTGTTGCATTTCCTTTGTCTGACTTTGTGATAACTATATCCTTGTTATTCTTAAGGTGTTTCAAGACTTCTATCTCTTGTTTTGTCAGGTTAGGCTTTCCACATTTTTGTCGTTTTAATGTTAGTGCACATTGTGCCCGTACTTCATCAGCCGTAGTTTTGTCTATCCCACTTAGTGCTATTTCTATTTTAGGGATGACATCCTCAGGTTTCAGCTTGTCTACAGATACATTGAAATTTAGTCCCTTTTCTAATACACTTATTTCCGTAGGACTTAATGTATGTGTTGAGAGATTGATAACCCACTTTGATTTATCGATCGCCGTTGACTTTTGGTTGTTGACTTCATCATTCTGAGATGTAGATTTCTCTTCTAATAATTTGTTGAACTTTTTGATTTGACTATTTTTTGACTTTGTGAAAGTTGCTGATTTTGCAATGCTGGAGGACTGTGTTATAAGATCATAATCTGTACTGGTAACTATTCCTTTTATCTTTTGTTTTAATTGTGGCTTTTATCTTTTGTTTTAATAGTGGCTTGAAGTTTCTGTAGCAGTCTTTATTTTACAGGATGGGGTTGCTAGCCTCATGTCCAACCTTTCCTCTTCACCAGCATTATTTCTGGCTTAGCGAGGTAAAGGAGTGCGTCGGCCGGGGATCGAACCCCGGACCATGTGCATGGTCGGTGAGCGTCGTAACCGCTATGCCACCGACGCACTGGTTAACGAATATAAACTGTACATATATATAAACAGCAGTTTGATCAATGGAAAACATACCTTGGCTCCATTGTCTTGCCTTTTGTTGTTACAATATTACACTCTGAAGATATAACCGTTTTTATGAACTAGACAAGAATTGGATGGAGGATTTCATCATGAGCTGACATCAGTTACAGAACCACTGGAAAACCACCTGGGAGTACTAGACTAGAATTTTTTAGTAATAAAACAAAAGAGGCAAGCAAACTCGCAAGTGTCAAACTGAAACACAATCCAATTTACACTGTAATGTGCTTTTTTTAAAACAAAGTGACTTTGAGTAATTTCCTAGAAAGGGAACATAACTGAAACCAACAAAAACAGCAACAACAGCAAAACATTAAACACAGTCGAAGCAAACTTTATTTCGTGATTATATGTGAATCAGAAAACAATTTAACAGAAACTAATTTCGTTGTATTTTGTACACAAAATGAAATGTAATTTTACACAAAGAAAAAAATCAAAACAAAAGAATTAGCTAGAGCAATTGTATTTTTTTTTAAATACAGCGCTAACTAGTATTATTCTTTATTCTAAAAGACATTTATTTGTTCGAAGCTGATAATAACAATAATAATAATAATAATGTTGTTGTTGTTGATGATAACACAGACAAATCAACTGTCTACGTGTATTATTAATTAGTGGAAGTATAGACACAGGAAAAAAAGGCATAAAGAAGTTGTATGAAGACGAAGAAGAAGGGTAAAAAGTTCTTCATGACTAGAATTACAGTCTTCAATGACATTTTCAACAAATGAATGGAAGGCGGGCGGCGATGAGGAAGTGTAAGGTGGATGACAAAGTTTTACAATGAATATATTATATATGTATGTATGTTGAGGATGAGAGATTCTGCTTTTTTCAACTCTCAGAAACAAACAAGGTGGAAATCAAGCTCAAAATCATTAATACCTTTTACAACAACGATATAAGCCTTTAAATAAAAATTAGAATCGTATAGAAACGTATTACTAATATTCTATTTTTACAGTTATATCACATTTTTTCTTGTCAGAGAGAAATAAATAATGAAGAATGAATGTGTGTTAATCCCCCCCCAGAACCCTGCTGCACACACACACACACAAACATGTAGAATAGAGCATCATCTGACACACAATGTTAAGAAAGGAATAACTAGATGGTTTGAGTGCAGTATGGCATTCTCATCAGAAATGACACTAATGAAACACTAATCATAAGATAAATAAAGATTATTTATTAAGTAATGGACAAATACTGACATTGGAAATAGTTTTTTTTTTAAAAAAAAACAGAAAAATTCATACTGTGCATGTATACCCTGCTAAATGTGTAAACAACATGAAACATTGTTATACAGATGTGATATACTGTGAAAGAAATCAAAAAACCGGAAGTTGGTCGTTGTATTTTCAAATGATTGTCCTCACCCCCTCTCTCTCTCTCTAAATGATTTGAGTTATGTTCACGAGAGAGAGAGAGAGAGATAACAAAGAAAAGATCAGAAGTAGAAATAAATAATAATAATAAATAACCGATTCATTGATTAACTAATTAATTAACTGATTAATTAACTAATTCACAAATACAGAGTCTACATGTTGCATGTTCATTCACTGTAAGAAACTAAAAACACGTTTATTGTATTCACATAAAATAAATAAATAAATAACTAAAATGAAGATAGCTAGATAGATATTTATTTTTCAATTTTTTTTTCTACAAAAAAGATAAGCAAACATAATTCGTTGAGTTTTTCTCTGTTTCGTTTTCTTCGTCTACTTTCCATTTTACCAGTTGGATGGATTCAACTTTAATTTGTATAACTTCAGTTTGAAACCCAATGATTCTGATAACAGGGTAGATACACATGAAAGTAGAACTAATTTAAATATATTATAGACTAAAGGATTCAATGTCCAACCACAAACACGGAATGGGCCATCCACTTCTTTTAATAAACTTTCAACTAAGCGTAGAACTTGAAATGTAAGCATTAAATCTTCCTTTTTATGTGGTTTACTTTCCATACTCAAATAGAGATTGATCTAGGAAAACATTTTCAAAAAATAAAACAAGCAAAATTTTATTAGTATTATTAATAGTTCCAAGTGTTGTTTTATTATTATTTTTTTGAATTAAAATAATTATCATGTCTAAAAAAGTGTGCAGCGGTAGGTAAATCCCCTAAATTATTAGGCACAGTATTCAACACTGAACACTGAATCCTGACCGCCACTGTTTTAGTCGATTTGTTTATTTGAAGACTTACGGTGAAGCGTCCATGCCATTTTGCACGCCATCGTGTTACGTTCATCCGTTCGTGCACGATCGCTAGCTAGTTAAGCAATCATCTCGCATTCCGATTTGGTACTGAAATATACTTCATAATTTGGATGATCAATTCTGGTCTTTAGCTTTGCCTTTGGTCTACGCGGAACGAATACTATAGAAGTTGTGGGTATTAGATTTTGCGTTAGAATACTTCGTCCAGTCCGTGAACGTCAACACCCTTAGCCTCTAAACTGGTGAGCCCTAATGCGAACTTCATCTGGCTCCACAATATATTGTCAATAAACTTCTCACACATTCTGCTCCATATCATCCTCAAACCCATGCTCAACTCGTCATTTCCACTTGAGGGCTTGACGCTCAACGATCTCCGCAGCGTGTGTCCAATCCATCTTCATTTTCCTCTACATATTTGTTGAGCAATTGATTACTGATTGGTCCGTTCCAAGAGTTCCTTGTTGTTAATCCTTTCTGGCTGGTCATCTGATCTTCATTATGGAACCAGAGAAAGCAGCTGTTTGATAAAAGTCTACAGACTGTTCCAGATGACACGCCAAGTCTCTGAACAGTATAAAAAAACTGACTTGATATCAGTGTTCAAGAATTCGAATCTTGTTCATTTTCCTTAGTGGAATAGATTTCCAGACAGATAACAGATTAATGACGGTTTGTCTTGCTTTTCCGATGTTGGCTAGCGTTGACATCTTCAACCATACTGCCTAGATAACTCACAGAAGTGACTTATTTCAAATTCATTTAAAAATAAACAGCCAATAACTAACAGCGCCACATCGAACTACTAAAAACAAATAAGGAAAAAGAGGATTGTTAGTCTGAGCGACTAATTCGGGGGAGAGATTTCCAAAAAGAAAGGAAGAATTTTTAGTCAACAGAGTATAACATGTGCGTCAATCCTAGTGGTAGCGGTGTCTTTCTATCGATTTCTGGGTGTGGTAAAAGTGTAACTGTCTCGTAACACGGAAAGATGTTAGACGATGAAGTTTTATTGATACAAGTACTTGTGAACGTTGATTCAGCCAGTCTAACTAATGTATTCTTCAACATATGAAAACGAAGAATGATGTTGATTTTGACCTGTAACCAGCTTAAGTCAAAGGGAAAGAAAAAAAAAAGATTTTTAGCCATTTCAGAAGATCCTGTATAAACATAGTGCTTTCTAATATTCCAAAGTTTGTTATTTATCAGTGTCACCAGAACAACAAAATTCACAAATCCTGTTTGTATCAAGAAATCAAATAGAGTAACTTATATATATATATATATATATATATATATATATATAGGACTTCTGACAAATTGTGCGTGTCCTAAATGTCAACATGTGAGGTACCTAAAACATGCAAAATTTATCACGCAAGTCTGAAAGTTCACTGTTATGTAAAGTGCTAGCTTGCCTTAAGCTGTAAAACAACATTTTACACATGAAACTAGTACATGTATAATTAAAAAACAACTTACTTGTTCAGTTATAAGTACAGAAAAGTTACGGTATTTCTTTGTGATTTTTGTACCAAGGAGAATGAAACGATAGAGAAAGATGACAATGCCAAAAGTAAGACCCAAGATATCCCAATTAGTCAATTGAAGAAAAACACTTCCACGACTTTTTGAAAGAAGCTAAAAGTTAAATGTTGAAAAAAAATTGAAAGTGAAAATACCTTTTTTTAATTAATGGTCACAATTTAATAATGTCTGATTCATAGATTACGTTCAATCAAATGTATTTACTCTACAACATCCTGAAATCAGTTTGGAAATCTTCTGAATTCAGCATAAACAACAAGATGAGGATTTACAACACCAATGTTAAACCAGTCATTTCTTTTATATGGAACATTAGATTGAGAAGAACAAGAAGTTCAGTCCCGGCATCTTCACGGGAAGACCGAAGCATGGCGATTGCTGAACTTCTTGTTCTTCTCAAACTAATGTTCCAATGGGTATTTTCCACGATCTCAAAAAAATACAAGGACCCTACGACAGTGAAGGAACTCAATGGGTTTCTACGTTACTCTGTCAAACTTGCCGAAGTAAATGAGAAATTAGACTTCTATGAAGACTGTATTAAGAATCATCGATAGCTGAACTTCTTGTTCTTCTCAATCTAATGTTCCAATAGGTATTTTCCACGATCTTTTATATGGGTCAGAAACTTGTCGAACGCGTCACCAAAAGCATTTCCAACAGCCTGATACAAACTTTTGCTAACAACTACATTCGTTAGCTGCATTAATGAACATCACATGGCCGGAAAAAAATTAGCAACAATCGTTCAAAAAATCTGTGGACGGAAATGGAGATGGATTGGACACACCCTGGGGAGACCATCGAATGACAACTCACGCCAAGGCCTCCAGTGGAAGTGGAGCAGGAGACGACAAGTTGGGCGTGGGTCCGAGGATGATATAGAGGAGATAAGAGATTCATAGGCAAACGTGGGGCCAGTTGAAGAGGATAGCAGAGGATATGACGAAGTGAAGATGTGCTCTATGATCTCCTCGGGACTCAAGGGAACAATAATATTATAATAAAACTCCACAGTTATTTGAAATGCATAGGTTAATTGGAGGGAGTTAAGGTCAAATTTGATTGAACCATGAGACTCTGAATAACTATTTATTAAATCCTAAATGAGGAATAAAATGGACACACAATACTGAGTGCATATAAGCGTGGAAAATAACGATTGCTTGTTAATTCAAAATTCAATGATTAAGTTTCCACGATTAGTTAATTATAGCGATCAATAGATAAATAACGATAATAAATAAAATAAATAAATCTCAGGAACAAAGTACTGGTCTTTTCCACACACTAAGGTTTCATGTATTTGGTCCTAAGTTCAAACTGAACTACACCTACTTTGAGCAACTAGAAAGTGCTTAAAGATCTCCCTTATAAACTCTGATTTATAGCCTAATTACATAAAGTTTAAGGGGTGCATGTGTTGCATAAATGAAAGTAGATAGGTGAGGTATGAGCACTAATAAAAATCTTCCATCCTGGTTACAAATTCTCAGATAGATGGGCATACCTTCGTTTAACTGAAGTGCTTAAATATTGGGTACATGATTACGTAAACCGAAAAATTAACAAAACGCGTCGTTCGTTTATTGAAGTGGCAATGAGACTACCTTTTAGTTTCAGTTTTTGAGTTTTGCGACTTAAATATGTATTGGACAAGGGGTCACGATGCTTTGAGAGATCGCTTATTCTTTCATCAGCAGTTAACAGTTACATGAAATCTTAAATAAACGAGAGAATATAAGTGTGATTTTGGAGAAACTAAACTTCGATAATCACGCATATTCTCACGCATTCAGTAATAAGTCACTTTTTGAGTGTGGAAGTTCATCAAAACACCTGTTGTCAATTTTGGTGAACATTGAATGGTATGTTTATCCGAACTAATCTCTGTTTGGCGGGAGACAACAATGGCAACCTTTGCTTAGCCGTATGCTAGTTGGCAGAGGACTGGAGAAATACGATGAGAAGCACTATCATACATTTTATTAACGTTTATTTACAGACTCTGTACACAGTAACTTGTAATCCTGTTTCGTAGTCGGTGGAGGAATAAACAATCGTATTGTCCTTCCATTTTCTGATATTCCACGTTGGTTACTGTGCATAGTATTTGGCGTGTTAGGCGTAGTCTTCTGAAATCAACAATAGATTCAGGATCTTTGTGATCTCGACATTTGACACCTGTATACACCAACAACACCGAGCTGAGAGGTGTGATATAAACTCGTAACACGGTGACTGAAAGTAAACCTACGCGTATATATTCCACTTTTCAGACAAAAATGTATACTAAATCATATTATTAAAAAACAGACAGGAAAACGGTATTAGTAGAATACTTACTTGGGCACATAAACTGAGACCCAGTGTGAAGACAATATAAAATGCAGTTGCCATGATAATTTCAACTGATCGTTGTGGACCACGTTTCTTTAAATACGATCGAAGCATTAACCAACACTTTATATGACCAATTTTATTCAGACGAAACTGTGGTACTCGATATTTTAGAGCACGACGTCCAGATGTTAAGGAAAAAAAGTATTTCGCGTAAAGTAAACGCTAGAAGTTATGAAAATGAATAAATAGGTTAATTGTAACATATTTTCACATTGTATACTTACATAAATAAAAATATATATAAACATGAATTAAGGGAATAATTTACCTCTTGAAAAGTGCGTTCAGCAATGCATAACAGGAAGAATACCGTACCATACACATTGAATCTTAATATGAAGCCAATTAAGATAACCAAACGTCCTCTAAATAAAAATAACGACAAAAGATAATAGAGAGGTTAGACTGAAGGTAAAAAAAACCCTGCGAATTCAAACTGTGATAAACACTCAAGCCGAAACTATAACTAAACATAGAAATGAAGATATTATATATATAGCTATCTATATAAACAATTCCAACATTCGTAGGACATCAAAAAAACTGACTTTCGCAGTTCACTCTTTAAAAGCCTACGGGTAAGAGGTAATGAAAACTACTTTAGTGAAACCTGTAAACGCCTAGAACACAGCAAAAACAACAGAACTATCTGTCTTCTCGATAAAGAAAGGAAGACGAAATTTGCAGTATAAAATGACATCATTCTATTTCACAGGTTCTCATCAGCTGCACACCACTACCTGAAATTACAATGGTTATATAGATGATAATAACATACTTTAATGTTTAAGTGCTAGTAGAGAAGAAATACTATAAAACTGACGAATCCAAAGTGTAAGCATTGCAAATTTTAGTTTAAGCTTTCATCATCAATTTGTACGCTTTCAAAGTAGAAAAGAGGGGGGAGGGGTAAGACAGAAAACAGAAAAAATTAACAAAGTGTTAGCTTGTAGGTTCACATAGCGACCCAAAAAAACAAAAGCGGTTACAGTTTGTACGATTTATTCAGTGAGTTGAGATCACTGAATTAGATGACTAATTAATGCAATCAAAATCAAAATACAGTTACCACGAGGGTGAGAGCTTAATCACATTGTCTTTCTATATGCATAAGTCTGGTTTGAATCGTTTGATTGCGATCGTTTCGGCAAATCGTAGTAAATTTTCTGTCCTTTGTCTATTTAATATTTTGAAGGACTTAGAAATCTCTACGAGATGTCCGGTATCAACAATATGTCTGGTAATTGCACTCTGAGAATATTTGCTGTACCTGTGCCTGAAAGGAAGCACACTGTTAATTTTTTCTGTTTTCTGTCTTACCCCTCCCCCCTCCTTTCTACTTTGAAAGCGTATAATTTGATGATGAAAGCTTACACTTTGGATGCGTCAGTTTTATAATATTTCTTCTCTACTAGCACTTAAACATTAAAGTATGTTATTATCATCTGTATAACCATTGTAATTTCAGTTAGTCTGCAGATGATGAGAACCTGTGAAATAGAATGATGTCATTTTATACTGCAAGTTTCGTCTTCCTTTCTTTATCGAAATGTATCAAGGGAACCAAATGTATGAAGTATTTGTCTTTTCGTATGCATTTACTGCTTCAGTCACTCCTAAGAAGACTGGTATACTAGACGTAATACCATGCAAATTAACGAACCTGTTGTCAATTGCCTTCTTTCACATAGCTAGTAAAGAGATAATTTCGGTCAATTAAAAGTTAAATCCTGATCAAGCGATAGACATATATGCTATATTCACCAAAAATCAACTGTATCCTACTGAATCTTTCATAATTATTTTCCTTTCTTTGATGAGTGAACTGTTGTCGTATTCAAGTTTAACTACGGATTGATATCAGTTAGAGAACCATTGAGAACTAACAGGGAGTACTGGACAGCTAACTGTTTCGTCCCACTTTGGAAGTTTTCAGCAGTACGAACCTACTAGGGTTCGAACCCACGGGCTCGCAGAACACTCAGCCAATAGGCTCTAACTCAATGGTCAATCCATGAATTCTAACTTCTACCAATTCGAGATTTTAACGCGAGTACCAGCCAATGTGATCGCTGAGTATTTGTCCTCAATCCTGACATTGTGGACCTCGCTGGTCACGACTTCTCGTGGCTTGTTGTTATACTGGAAGTACGCGTCTCTACATGATTCAAAAACATTTCACACATCATGGATAAAAAAAATAAGAATGAATATACATATAGGAGAAAGTAATAACTACTTACTGTATATCTGGTTTAGAGAACCAATTAATAAAGAATTGTCCAGTTACAATATTCCAAAATATTATACAATAAGGTTGAGAACAATTAAAAGCTTGTACATCAGCACCAATTAATAAATTGTACATTTTTAGTAGAACAGAAGAAAATAAATGATTGAAAATGCTTAATATAGCACGTATATACAATCCGATAACAGTATTTCCAAAAATAGAATTATTAGAAGTAAATAAATGTGTAAATAATGTTTGATTTAGCGAATTATTATTTTCAAGAAATAATATATTATCTCCTGTTATAAACGATGATAGAAATTGACCATCATTATTTTGTACATTCGATGGATTAATTATCAAGTGATCAGAATTGTTTGTTGAATTAGTCGAGTGAAATATGACAGCTACAAAAGGCAATAGAAATGTAGCAATACAAGCAAGCATTATGTAATCCGAAGAAACATTTTGTCGTTCAACAGCCTTTTAAAAGAAAAAAAAGTAAGAAAAGAAACAGAAAGAAAAAAAACGAATTGATTACATATTTATCATATACGACGAATGGGTATGATATGCAATACAGAATTGAACAAGTACATTTAACAGAGGAACACATAAGCAATTTTTTCCTTCACGTTCCCCAGTGGAACATAGGGCTTCAAGCTTGTGGCTTGAAGTTTCTGTAGCAGTGTTTATTTTACAGGATGGGGTTGCTAGCCTCATGCCCAATCTTTCCTCTTTACCAGCATTATTTCTGGCTTAGCGAGGTAAAGGAGTGCGTCGGCTGGGGATCGAACCCCAGACCATGTGCATGGTCGGCGAGCGTCCTAACCGCTATGCCACCGACGCACACAAACATTTACCCACTGGTAAATATCAATGGTGAAATGATAAACCATAGTTGCATAGGTGCATAGAATGCTTCATTCATACTACTGTTACTACTTAAGGCATACAAACACATTCAGAAAAACATTTTCTTTGGCAAACAATTAAGGTTTCTTCAGATGTAATGGAGAAGATTTGTATCTCAGGTGGATGATTTTGATGTAGTTGTGTTCTCTGAGTTGGATGGTTTATTTGTGAAGCTTTCATTGCTCCCTACTAGGTAACATCTTCACCTCAAACTTCAATTTGAAATGAGCTTTTAGATTTCTCCATGAGTTTATTAGTCATCTCTCCTGGTGGGTGACCTTGAGCGTGATTGGTTGTTCTCATGTGTTTTCACACCCTCTAGGCTACTTGTATTGATACTGATTGTTTCCTTGACCTGAAGTTTGACCCTATGTGTATGAGATTTCCCTCTTATCGATTGGCAAATTTTGTCTATGTCAATGTGTCTATTAATTGATGACTCACTGGAATACCAGACGGGCTTCTAAAAATTCTCTGGCATTCTTAGTGTTTCTTCAAATTGAAGTATGCGCTGACGATGGTGCCTGGTGGGGCAATGAAAGCCTCGCAAATAAACTATCCAGCTCAGAGAACACAACTACAACAAAATAAGTTTTATTTTCAAGTCAGTTAATCCATTTCGATAGTGTAGCGTGATGTAAATTGGATAGGAAGCGACCAAGAATGAAAACAACATTTGCAGTCAATGGCTGCACAATTCACGTTTTAGAAGTGAAATAACCTCATTGGACAACTTGCTTAACAACGTTGGGTCAATTGTCAACCTATCAGAACAATCTTTTTTTCTCTAACCTAGCCAAACTGTAATCTGGTTCAAAATGTATAAGTATGATGTGTTTTTCCTCAATAAAAAAGTCCGTTCCAAATTCTCTTATTTTCTCCCGTTACAGTATCAATCTATATTAAAAAGTGAAGCAATTGCTTTACTCTATCATTTCAGAAGAACTACTTTCTAAACTCAGAATGTGTAAAGATGTGCTTTCAATGATATTCTAGTAAAGGTTGAATCTATAAGACATCGTTTCATCATTCCGATATCCTTATAACACTTAAGATACCTTCTTTCTAGCTCCACATAGTGTTCCAGGCATTCAAATTGACTGACTGTATTTCTAAGCTTTTGTGTAATAAGTTGAAAGCCACTCGATATGCTTAAATTTGAGCAACTACTTAAAAGTATTACCCAAACAACAAATACAGGTCAATCGAAGACACGAAACTTCACAAGATAGTTACTTGAATTTATTCTACTGTTATACATTCCATGCACGATTGCGTAATTTTATGCCAGGGGTAATAGGTTTGCTACATCTAACCCCGTGGATTTTCCATCCACAACTGACTGCGTTCTAAGCTTTCTAGACAAAAGCATTCTCTCTGAGATATCGAAAGTCAAACAATTCCACCACCGCTTTCATTTTTGTTTCCTTGATAGTAAGAGATGAGGAAAACGTAATTTATCTTATACGTGTCGAGTATACTGGCGTAACGCATTTCAGTCATTCTGACCACACACACACACATACACACGCATTTCTCGTACACATCAATCATGTACAAAAGGTCAAACATTAATTCATTAAGAGGTCAGGACCACACGTTATAGAAAAATAACATCAATATGTAAATAAATAACCATTGATTTAAAATTGGATTACGGAGGGAAGAGTTCAGCATACTAGCAAATAAATTCTGAACACATAAAATACGTTTAAACTTATTTATAGCTAGAGGTTCAACAAACCCATATTGTATACATATATGTAGGTCGAGAAGGTATGTTAGAACCAACCTTACAATCTGTCTCTATAGATGTGCCTTGCGATAGATGACACTGAACATCTATTTCTAAAGTCAGTTAAAGTTAAATGACTTCGCTTACTTCTGTAGCCTCTTGGAATATGTTCAGTGAGCCTAACCCGCTAATGTCGATGGGTCCTCTCCACAAGTATATTTGAATATATATACATGTACGTATATACACAGGACAAATACGTTTGTGATCAGAATGTTCCAAATGTATTACCTATAAACACTACGAGTGTAAAGTAAACTACGAAGATTTATTATTTTTTTTCCTCAATTCAAAGAGGGAACCCAATCGCTCTAAGTATCTAAAAATTCTCAAGACATTGGAAACTATTAACAAGCTGAAGACGAATGAAAACATGAAGTAAAGGATTCGCAGAAGAGAGTGAGTTGAACTCTGTGAGATGAATTGAGTCAAAAGCAATCGAGCGGTTAAAACAGATTACAGGGATTTTAAAAAAGCAGGACAATTTCATCACTTACATAGATTACATTCTTTCCAATATCCAACATAGTTAGATTGAATTTTGACAACTTCTCTCCAGCCCACATATAACAACGAACTTTTTGAAGAAGAAATAAAAAATAACATTTAAACAATTATAATGAGATATCGGTTGGTGATTCTTCTGAAAAAAACTCTACCGTCTAAAAGACTTAATGCTTTTGGAGTTAACAAGCCAAAATACATAAATGAAATAACTACTGGTTATAATAAGACTGTGTCACTGGCGCAGAGGTAGAATGCTCGCCAACCACGCGCGAGGTCTGGGGTTCGATCCTCGCCCAATGCACTGCTAGACCTCACTAAGCCAGTTGTAAGGCCGGTAAAGAGGGAGATTGGGCATGAGACTAGCAACCCCAATCCGTATAAATAAAACCAGTGCTACCGGGACTTCAGATTTCAAAAAGCTTGAAGCCCTATGTTCCACTCGGAAAGAAAAATAAAAAAATAAAAAATGATATAATTCAATGAAACTATAAAGCAGATTTAAAAGGAAGGTAGCTTGCGTCGGTGGCATAGTGGTTAGGACGCTCGCCGATCTTGCACATCGTCCGAGGTTCGATCCCCGGTCGACGCACTCCTTTACCTCGCTAACCCAGAAATAACGCTGGTGAAGAGGAAAGGTTGGGCATCAGGCTAGCAATCCCATCCTGTGAAATAAACACTTCTACAGAAACTTCAAGCCACAAGCTTGAAGCCCTATGTTCCACTGGGGAACGTAAAGGAAATTAAAAAAAAGGTAGCTTGCGATCATAATTAAACTAATTGATGCTTTTAGAAGAACTAAGATTTCTGTCGTCACAAGATTTATCGCAAAATCTCGGGTATAAGGTGTAGAATAGCTTTCGAGCTAGAAATGCATGGTCTAGACTATGAATCATCAGTTACTTCGACTTTTTTCATTTTATCCTATATCTTTTTAACCGATAAGGTTGAAAAACAACCCTGTTTTTCAGCATTGAGACACGCAAGCATTTTGAAAGCTCAACACTTCTCATGAGAAATGTTATACGCACTCTGCTACTAAAAACAGTTTTAGTTAGTGTATACACGACATCAGGCATCTAGAAGACAGAATGCTTTCATCACCAATGCTGCCTTCACTAGCCACACACTGGGGATTAGACGACCAGAAAGGATCCGCAATAGAAAGCGAACAAACCAGCTAACAACTTATTGTCCAACAAATATGTTGATGGAAACAGAGATGGATCCGACATACACTAAAAAGACCGTCGGACGACATCACACACCAGACCCTTGAGTGGAACCCGAATGGAAACCGACGAGTTGAGCATGGGTCCGAGAATGACACGAAGAAGAGTCGTGTGAGGAGCAGATGAAAGTGTATGCACAATCGTGAAGCCAGCTGAAGAGGACTGCAGAGAACAGGGTGAAGTGGATATCTGTTGTTACAGCTTTATTTTCCACTCTGAACCTTAGAGAATAACAATATTATTATAATAGTGTGTACCCAAAATTATGTTACACAAAAAGCTATCCCGTAAAATATTATCCACATATAAAATGTAGATAATTTTGCAAATACAACAATAGCATTGTTTTCTTTAAAAATAAAAACGAAATAATATATGTTAGTGGATGACAGCAAGAACTATGATTAGAAGATTGATAGTATGATAATGTTAAAGAATTAAGTTACAACAACATACCAGTGTCATCCTTGGCAGATTTCAGATTATCATAAGCATATGAATCTCTATTCTGGAAAGGAAAAATAAAACAATAATTTGAATATAAGAATTTTCTTTGCATAACTTCACATCTAAATAAATTAAATTTTAGTAAATGTTAACGTTGTTATTAGATTTTAATTGGTGGATGGTGACTAGCAGTGGAATCCAGGATGCACATTTCGTCCCATTTAGGACTCGTCACATGGATGCATCTGCATTCCCCAGTGAGTGATGATGTTCTCACCGAGGCTCGAATCCAGTGTTCATAGTTCCAAACTCCAAAGCGTTATCCATTAGACCACTTGGGCCACGAGAGCCACCTCTAAAGTTCAATTAAATTATTATTATCACATAATTACTAGATTGATAAGGCAACTCGGTAGGAAGCCTCGCTTGACCTAGATATCTTACTTGCTGGCACTCGTCCTTAAGGCGTGTCTGCAGTTTTGAAGGAACAACAATTCAGAGTACACCATGATGGAAGGCCACTTATCATGCTGACCACATTGCAAAGTTGACTGATAAAATTCAGTCTGCAGCAAACAAAGGATTAGACGCATGACGCTAGTTATTGTCCAATCAAATGATAACGTATATGTATTTTTTTCATTTTTATAACGACCGCTGACATGAATTACTGGTCACCATTACCGGGAATGGATCACAATTATAATAAGAAAGGATAGAAGTGTCCTACACAACAGTCAATTTGACTAATAGTGGTGAAATCGCGAAATCAGCTAATATCATCCAATGGCTTTATGGAACCTGATAACTGTGAACTAAACTAAAAGTTAAACAACCGTTGTTTAGATGCATAATACTTAGTGTCAAAATCTCAAAAGAAGCCAGAAATTCAAGATAACATCCATCTGCTAGCCGAAAGCGAGGTGCCTAAGCAAATAAAACACAAAACACATGTGAAGCAGCAATTCATCACTAGATTTCTCGTACATTATATCCAGCTCTATCACTCCGCAGTTATCATTAATTTTAAAGGGAGAGGTGATGGATAACTGCATACTACTGATTCATATGACAGCTAGGCAAAAAAACAATTGATGATTGTAGTAAGATGAAGAACTCATCATTAGTTGGATATACTGTAGCGAAATCATCGAGACTGCCAACAGCTATGCGGAGAAGTGGGATCTCTAATCGTCACTTATTACATCATTTTAAGTTGATCAAAACGAGGATATTTAGCCAACAATATTCTTTTCAATTTACAAGATAGGACAACAAGCAAAATATATTATCAAAGTTAGTTGCAAAGTAAAAAAAATAACTTTCAAACAATATGTCCACCACTTTCGTATTATTGAAACTTTAGCTGTCCATATAAGCATGTTAGGTATTAGCTTAAAAACCTCTTCACTCTTAAAATATCCTTAAAATCCCTACATTTTATCCATTTCGCATGTAATATCAAAGCTACTTTGCTTTAACGCTCATTTCGATTCCTTTACTGAATCTCCATTAGGGATAAGATTTTATTTTGATCAATCACACAGTGTTGTATAGTAATAATAACTGATGACGTTTCGAGCACAAACTATTGCTCATAATCATATCACATGATGATATATATATGTATACATATAGCTCATAGTGGAACCAAAGCAATTTAAATAATTACGAAGCATTCTTAAGAGTGCAAATAGACTTCCAAAGATCAAATGGTAATAAAAACAAGACACTTAGTTCAACGAAGAGTCGCTTGTAGGTGAATCCATCCACTTGGCTGTACCACAGCAGCCATACCGGCTATAAAAGTAGTGGCTCTTCTATAAGGAGTGCGATAATCGAACATCTTGTCAACACAGGTCATTCCATTACAATAAATGCCTCCTTCAAAGTAATCTACAAAGTGAAGAGCAACTTAACAGCAGCAAAAAAAACTTTCGTCTTCTTCGCATTCCCGAGGAGATTTGTAGCTCAGGTGAATGATTTTGATGTAGTTGTGTTCTCTGAGCTGGATAGTTTATTTGCGAAGCTTTCATTGCCCTACTAGGCAACATCTTCAGCACATACTTCAATTTGAAGTGAGCTTTAAGACTTCTCCACGAGTTTATGAGTTATCTCTCCTGGTGGCGTTGAACGTGATTGGTTGTTTTTGTGTGTTTTCACACTCTCTAGGCTACTTGTATTAGAACTGGCTGTTTCCTTGACCTGAAGTGTATGAGATTTCCTTCTTATCGATCGGTAGATTTTGTCTATGTCAATGTGTATATTGAATGAATGTTGGCTTGAATACCATGCTTCTAAAAATTCTCTAGCATTATTGGTGTTTCCTCTGTCTAACATTTGAACGTTGTCCCAGTCGAATTGATGTCCGTGGTTGTCTGTATCCACCGATATGAGCGAGGGAGTGGATGTCTTTATCAAAATGCTGACTAATGTGCAAATTGTCGATTTGATTCAAATCTATAAAAATATCCACTAACTTCTCTTATTCGTTATTTCTAGATAACTACTAGACAATCCTGTCAATTTCGCCTTAAACGTAGGTATCGGTAAGGCTATCAGCCAACAAGAAATAAGTTTTATATTTAAGCCTATTACACGATATTATTATGTAGGTGAACTGAGCAATAGCCACGAAACAGAAAAAATGTGAACCACTTAACTAAGAAAAAGTGACTGCATAAATCAACAACAAAAGAGAATTATTTTAGAATTCACTTTCGCTAAATGATTGGAGGAGATGGGAAAGTTGAAAACTTAGTTAAGAAGCTGTTACTTACCAAATGAGTTTTAAGAAGAATATTTCTCAAATTTTCCTTAGTTACTTCATCCTCCAAGTGCTGATCCTTTTGCTCAAATGTAACCGCCGAATGCAATATTTCTTCATTTATATTCGACATAATTTTGTCGCCTTGTGTAGGAATGCTTACTGGTTTCGATGGTAGTTCTTCGGATTCAAGTGATTTACCATCATTGCTGTTCTTGACATTATTAAATTCCTCGACACTATTAAGTGGACCAGAATCAGTGTTTGATGATACCGAGACATTGGGACGAGAACGACATTTCGGACAATAGTGTTTTCTATTGCGACAACTATAAGAAGATCTTCTTGATACTTGAGTTTTATCACTTTTTGGAATTCCTTGTATAGGATCGAGATTTACATCAGATCTAGCATTTGAATTTTGCCAATTAGGCAATTCGTTTCCACACGTGGGTGGTGATGGAGCTTCTACTTCATCCGGACAAGAGGAAGAGTCCACATCACTTCCCAAATCGCTATTGATACGATCAAAATATTCAGTTTCTGAGGCTGTTTGACCCTAAAACAGTTATTACAAGAGAACCAAGGTAATCTAACATAGAGGACTGTGAAATACAATTCCAAATATAAAAGGCCTGAGGAAAATTTTGGAATATTATTTCTAATCAAGTACAAGGAAACAGTCTGTAGCATGTGTTTCGCAACCGATAAGAAGATGAATCCTCAGCTTCATGAATAATCATGTCAACTTGAATATTAGGGTTGAAGTATCATAACTCGAATATGTCATCAAACTGCAAATAACGCGAATCAATCTCAGTGATGGCATAATTCGAATGTTGTCACATTTCCAAATCCAACAGTGAGAGTGCTGACTTCAAATAATTGAGATACGGGTAATCTCCATTAGTATACAGTTCTCGTTAATAATATATGCTGAAAATCCGAGTCTGGAGATTTCAGTCAACTAGGGAAGTATATTGTTCTCTCCAATCAGAAAGTCTAAATTATTATTATTATTATTCAACTCTCAAGTATTAATATACCTGATAAACCGTGAATCGTTTGGATGCATAAGAAGTTTAGGTGTAGAAAAGTAAGCTTCTCTTTCTCTTTACAATCTCAAAAGAGTAATTAGCAAACTCAGGGGGGTGGGTGCGTGGGTGGTTGGAGGAATACACAAAGAAATGGCATTTTCAAATAGTGCCTTTCATATAATCAACTTTAACCGTCACACATTAGGTGACTGCTGACTGCCTACTACATGACTGTTCATGTGATTGTCGACTGACTTACTGACTGACTGACTAGATTGACTGAATGATGAAAATACTGAAATATAAACAAATAAAATAAGCGCTAGTTTGTAATTCCTGTTTCAATAAATGCATAAACAATCAAAAATTTTATTCATTTTTCACACACAGTTAAGAAACAACGGAATTTTCTGTCTTATACGCATGTTTTTCACACACACACAAGTTAATAAACAATAATTTATTTTTAGTCTTGAATGTTTCCCCTCCTGTGTCAGTAAAATATCTAGTCACATGAACAACACGATCCTAACTCTCGAAGTCTTAATTGTGAATAAATTACGTGGAAAATGACAAAAAAATATAATAATTTTTATTCTGTCAGAGTTATAATATCATACTCCGCATTATCTCGGTAAAATGTCAACATACATAAGACGCGTAAATAAGCGTAAAATTAAAAAAAAAAAACAGAGGCATGATACAATCATATACTGTTTGTAAACAAAGTCAACAATTTTCGGTACAATAGTAAACCAGACAGATTGCAATGCAGCCTTACACATCTGACAACAAGCTTAACAAAATATAGTTTCCCAGGAGAAAACTTTTTTCAATAATTCAACAAATATCTGAGCTTCAATGAAGTCAGAATACGATTATATCCTCCTACTGATTCCTAGTATGCCCAAGATAAATAGCCATAGAAGTGGTATTGCCTAATACAGTATCAGCAACAACGCTATCTAATGCTTTCACCTTTGGCATTTTGCACATCAAATCAATTTTAAAAAGGCGATGAAGTCAAGATCAAATGATGACTACAAGAGCGGACAAAATGTTTCGCTGACTGATTCATTACTTCACGTTTTTTTGTGTGTGAAAAACTTCACCCAATTCATATAAATACCATGTGTCGCTAAAAGTAGTGAATATATATGTTAATTGACACAATTCACATAAGCATAAGTACCCAAAGCTGAGATGAAGTGAAGTTGTACGTTGTATAACATCGTGATACAACCGTTTTACTTTTCTCCATTTAACTCCATTACTGACAACTGCATATCACTTTCCATTTCATAGTAATCAATGTACGATAAAAGAAAAGTCCTTCCTTAATCACTGGCGAACTAGTGACAATAATGATAATCTACAAGAGAAAACCGAAAAATTTGTAGAGGAGGAGCAGCTAAGATAAGACTTCAGGCAAATATAGAGAGGACAGAGGTGATGAAGATAACCAACCAACCAACAACAGGCACCAGTCAATATCAGTGGGAGAAATTTGAAAGAGGTCACTACTTCCACGTATTTAGGCAGCATCGTTTCAACTCCAAGAGGCGCGGATGAGGATGTCAAAACTAGGATAGGAGAGGTAATACAGACCTTTGTCGTTCTAAAATCAGTTTGGAAATATTCAGCAGTCAGCAAAAAGAACAAAATTCGGATTTCCAACACCAATGCTAAGTCAGTCACTTCTTCCATATGGGTCTTAAACTTGTTGAACGCGTCACGAAAAGCATTTCTAATAGCCTGATGCAGACTTTTATCAACACCTGAGCCTTCATTCCATACTGAAGATCAGATGGCCAGAAATGATTCGCAACAAGGGAGTCTGGGAACCAACCAAGACGCATGCAAAAGAAAATGGAGATGGATTGGACAAACGCTGAGCAGACAACTGAGTGATACCGCGCGCCAGACAAGCCTTCGAGTGAAAATCGAGTGGGAAACGACGAGTTCGGTGAGGGTCAATGAGTGACATGGAGGAGATCGTATGAGGAAGAAATGAGATCTTGTGGGCAATCGTGGGTCCAAGTAAAGAGGACTGCAGATGATAGGATGAAATGAAGATGTTCTGCTGAAGCTCTGTATTTCACCCAGAACCCAAGGGGATAATAAATAATGCACATCACTAAGACGAATAGACAGAAATCGTAAAGATTTTCAAAAATTTCTTCAAATTTTAACTTGAAAGCAAGAAATATTCAAAGAAAAACAAAAAAGAAACTGAAAACGAATAACCTTACTCGTGTGTTCATATTGGTATCGTGTTGTTCACCTTTTGTAAAATAATGTGAATGAGAATATGTGTCATGAACGAAACCAGTAATCGGATCCATGAACCGATTCATATTTCGTCTAGATTCATGAACTGTTGAACTTTGTGAACTAAAATTTTATAAAAAAGAAAATTGAGAAAGATATAACAGAGACAATTAAATGTATGATCGAGTTTGAAAAAATCAAATATTTTAGTAAATCAGGTAAAAAGTGCAGATTTACATCTGCAAATAAAAAACAACAACTGATCATGGTAATTTCAGCATGATTTCAGTCATGGCTGTTAAAAAAACTAATTGGAAGAAGAATTTAAACATACTTACAGCCTTTAAAACGAAGCATAACTGTGCTATCTGCGAGAGGTGTGAGAAGTAGTCATATATCCGATAAAACTACCGGTGATCGGCAGCACATGACATTGAGGATTTCGAACTCAAAAGATGCTAGTTTTTGGAAAAATGTTAAGTAATAGTTTTTGTCTCCAACCAAATGTTAAGTAAAACAAGAGCTATCAGTGAAACACATACTGTTAAGCTATTCAAAAAATAAAACTTGATTACAGGATTTCATCATGAGCTGACATCGGTTAGAGAACCATTGGAAAACCAACTGAGAGTACTGGACGGCTGTTTCCACTGTCCTAGTTTGGGACTCTTAGGCAGTACGCACCCACCAGAGTTCGAACCCAGGACCTTCTGGTTACAAGGCCAGCTCGTAGACCATTAAACCACTGGGACCCGATCCAATGGCCCACGACATAGAGCGACCGCTAGCCAATGTCATCGGTGGCGACCTGCTGCACCCTACTGGTCACGGCGTCGCACTAGAACCCAGGTAACTACCTACCTAAATAGGGCCAGTCGCTAGTGAGCTATTCGAGTATTGGTTTGTAGGGATGTGATTGATTGTGGGCGGTTGCGTACTACTAAAGAGTCCCAAATCAGGACGAAACAGTCATGCGCTACTTCCAGGTTTTTCAACCAATGTCAGCTCATGATGAAATCCTGTAACCAATCAATCAAATCTCTACAAACCAATACTTGAATCAAACTTCATTTCAAATAGAATTTAGACACAATTTAAAATAATGCCTTACAGTGAAAAGGTCAGAGAAATGCTCTAGCATTTGATATCTTTTTTAGAAATATCTTAAAACCCAACGAAGTACTGTGCCACTAGGCTAAGTGTTGTTCACCTCAACAACAACAACTTAGAAACTGGGAATGTATATTAATATCCAAGTAACAGATTAAGTTATCGCCTGAATTTTTATGATTAAAATTGCAAGTTATATCCTTATTGCACCAACTAATCACACAATAATTTTCAGGGAATTCGACAAATGGGACGATGTCAGACTCCATGAAATCCCAGTAGTTGAACCACAGATGCCACAAAGACGTAGTACACTACCTCCTCCCTTGTGCATAAAATATACTCGATCATGCTTTACGCTTATATCATGTTAATAACAATTTTGCAAATATGAAATTATCATTCTAAAAGTTTTAGCATCATTCATAAAATTGGTAACATATCTCAGGGCAATATCATATTTTGAAATTAATAAAAAAATATACCCAGGAATTTCTTCAACAACAAAAGTAAAACTCCCAAATTTGAATAAACTTCGAAGGTATATTGGTTGATTAAACATACAATGACTCTCATTTAAAGTAACAAAAACCTCTCAGTGAATTCATCTCAGCTATCCGAATTTTAAAATTCATGTGTACAAGTTTATTGCATTAAAAAGTAACGCCTAGCAGAGCAACTATCCAGAGTATCTTTCGAATAAAAGTCACTTGGTCGTTTGAGATGTGCGACCAATGAAAGTTGACTCCAAATGTGAAGAATACGAAATTCTTCCTTCTTACAATTTTTTTACATGATGCCTTTCTTCATTACTCCATACTCTCTGTTGCTTTGAAAATGTTAGTCATCTATCTGTTGTGAAGAAATTGTTTGTAGGTTGAAGTAAACTTTATTATTGAAAGAGTTACTTTGTCCATTGTATCATTCACGTGGATTTTGGAAGTTATATCTACTTTACTTATAAATGATACCAAATTTCAAGTGAAAACTACAGGATTGGAGTACACCGACTCCTAGATTAGAAATAGGAAGCGAAGTGGTAGAGCATGTTGATTGCTTCACTTACTTGGGAAGTACCATCAGTCCCAACGGGTTGATCTCAGACGAAATCTCAGCTCGGATACAGAGGGCTAGTTTCGCATATTCCCGCCAGTTTACGCCGTCTCTGGTGTAGACGTGATATCCAGTTGGCTATCGACCAAAGGGCGTGTGTACTGCTCATCAGTTCGCTCCGTCCTCCTTTATGGCTAGCTGTGAGACCTGGCCATTGAGAGTGGAAGACATGAAAAGATTAGCTGTCTTTGATCATAGGTGTCTGTGTTCTATCTCCCGTGTGAAGTGGTATAATAAGGTGAGCAATATTGAGGTTAGGCGTCGAGTGCTAGGTAGGTGGGAGGGGAAATCAATCGACGAGGCTGTGAAATTACATCGACTGAGATGGTTAGGACATGTGTTACGTATGCCTAGTCATCGCCTTCCTCGACCTATGGGCAATGTTAGCTGATATAGGGTGAGGTTGGAAAAGAGCCAGTGGTGGTCAAACCAAAACATGGCTTCATCAGTCAATGGAATCCACAACAGTCAGTCTAAGCCACGTAGGAAGGTGTAGACTTCCTGGTTGGGGTCCTCGGGACGGTAAAAACCAATGGTTGGAAACAATTGGTGACATGGCTTGTCAATGGACGTGAACATTGAACGTTTGTTTATTGGAACTGGCAGCCATTGGTGGGCAACTCGAAGGCGCGAATGGTTCGATCGCTTGCAAGTTGAATGAAGACTGGAGCAAATACGAATAAAAGTACTTTATAACTTCATTTGTACTTAACATTTGTTTGTAGACTTTGTAGTTGTCTTCACTTTAATTGCCAAACAATATAATTTCGTTCAAGGAATACTGGTGTTTTGGATTTAAAGTTGAAAGAAATACACAGTCTTTATCGGTCGCAAACGTCTTCATTACAATAGGAACTTAGGGCTAAGTTCCTTGACATGCAAAATCGTTGTCAGTGGTGCAGATGCATCCACTCCTTGTGACTTATGATTTCCAATGAAACTTTTGTTCTTCGTTATTACTATTCCTTTGTCTCACACTTCTGTTTACTTTCTCTAATATGCATTTCTCCTACTTTCTTCTCTTGCTTTGTGTGCTACATGGAGTGTGGCGACTTGAACTACCGCACATATGTGCAAAGTTTTATGTCGAAAACAGACAGACAGACAACCTACCATTCCGTCTAGGATCCTGTAATAGTATTCGCAAATCTCAGGAGAGTTGATGTCTCAACACTACTTATTCTAACAGGAATACTTCTGAATACTGATAAAGATAATCGCAAATATAATGACATTTAAGAGTTTTTTTAATATTGAAGTGAAGAATATATTAAGCATACTTTATGAATGTCATTTTTCAAACACAAAACAGTAATATCTAAAGTGGATTTACTTTTACTTTACCAAAATAATCCCTGAAATCGTTGAAAAACAAGCAAGCAAACAAAAAAAACCATGTGATGACAATGTTTTGAGTGAGCTAGTTTTGTTTACTCACATGAAGTAAAATTCAAGTTATACACATGAAAAACAGAGAATAATGTGACTAACGAACGTAACATAAATATAAAGCTAATCTATTGTATGCTAGTGTAGTGATAATATGTGAAGACGTTTACATTAAAACTGTCACAACAAAAAATTTTGATACATATTTATTTATTCCCAGTATATAATGTTTGCAAAAACAAATGGGGATTTCATGACATGACATAACTACATAAAATTACACACGGATAAAGCTTATTATTTATGAACATGAAGGATACATACATTCCTTAATACTGTTTTCAATTTGCATGAAACATTTTGAAAACAAAACTAACAATTATTTAGGCCCTAGTTTTTACTGCATACTTTAAAAAAAAGTACTAATCGTCATAGTTAAGCACTCCCTTTCAGATTATGAATTAGAAGTTGGTGTGAATGATGAATATTCTTTTCAATAAATTCCTCTGAGGGTTTTATACGGCGGATACAATTTTATTTCATTCTCAATACATAAACCTCATGTCGGTTAGTTTATATATTGATTACTTCATGATGAACTAACTACTCACCACAGTCTTACGATCTTAATGTCACTGACCAAAAAAGTTTTACAACCTTGAGGTAAATTGTCAATTTTCTTCCCCCGCCCCCGACGATCAAACTTGCAATCTTCGAATTAACTCCTAACTTGTAATTTACCCAGCTCCAGGTGAAATTTTATCAGAATTTCCTTTGGAAATCAAAATTATTCAGATACCACAAATAGCAATCAAGAAAGCAAGCATAAATTTATGGTGCTATATACTACTGATTAGCTGATAGGAGTTTATATTTTTTAAATTCCTTCACGTTCTCAGTGGAACATAGGGCTTCAAGCTTCAGCTTTGAAGTCTCAGTAGCAGTGGTGTTCATTTTTACGGGATGGGGTTGCTAGCCAGTTTCATGCCCAACCTTCCCTCTTTACCAGTCTTATTATTACTGGCTTAGCGAGGTAAAGGAGTGAGTCAGTGGCCGGGGATCGAACCCCGAACCACGTGAGGCGTGGCTGGCGAGCATTCTACCACTGTGCCACCGACGCACTGAGTAGTTGGATACTACTCACATCAACTAGTAAGGATCCCTAACCAGATCGAAATGACCCTTCCCCAACATGCATGAATTCATTACGACTAATCATTTTCATCGTCTCAAATTCCACCGTATTTTGTAATTGCATTTAGCCCACTATATTTAACATACAAATTCACCCTATAACTAATATGTTATTCTACATGAAATTGTATTCACCGCTATTATTCCACTGATAGTTACAAGAAGCCGAAGAGAACTTGTCGAGAAGAATATTATTCGTTCGGGCCAATTTCCACTTCATGTTTGAAGAAAACAAGAAGAGTACATTCAACAGTACAATTGACATCACGTAGAATTTAATATTAATATACAAAATACTCAAATACTGAATTGATAAC